TGAGGGATGCTGGGAGAACCCCGCAGCCAGCATCTGCTTTGATGTATTAATAGGCACCCCAACTTGTTCCAAGCTTGAGACCTAATATCCCTGACATCCCTTCCCATCCTGATCCATTCCTTTCCTGACTCTCATAAGAAAACAAATGGGCAGCCAGGTGGTAGTGGCCTTTAATCCCAGCACTCTGGAGGTAGAGGCAGGCAGATATATGTGAGTTTAAGACCAACATGGTTTTACAGCCTGCACTGTTACACAGAGAAACCTTGTCTTGAAAAACAAAAAAAAAAAAAAAAGAAAGAAAGAAAGAAAGAAAAGAAAGGGCTTCTATTGAATAATGATAAAATAAGACAAAACAAAAACTAGCACATCAAAATTGGACAAAACAAACCTTCAGAATGAAACCCACTCATTCAAACACTCAGAAATCCCATAAAAACATTGAACTAGAAGTCATAATATATGCACAAAGGATCTGTAGGGTAAAAAAATGCAAATAAAATAATAAGATAATAGAATTTTTTAAAAAGGAAGAGTCCTGGTACGACATTATGAGACAAGGAAACACCCCCCCCCCAAAAGTGCCCTTGAGTTCGTTTTATGCTGGGCACACAGTCTACCCTAAGAGTAGTTTGTTTCTCCAGTGAGACCCCCTTGGAGAAAACTAAATTTTCATTTGCAAGTGGTTATCAATTGGAGATTGTTTCTGGCTTAGGGATGGGGACATATGTCCACTTCTCCTTTCAGCTCTTGGACCTCATCTCATATAGACCCTTGTGTATGCTCTGTGAGTCATATGTTTCTATCCTATTGATTTAGAAGGCCTCGTTTCTTTGGTGTCCTCCATCCCCTCTGGCCTTTATACTCTTTTCTCCTCCTCTTCTGTGGGGTTCCTTGAGTCCTAAGGGGAGGAATTTGATGGAGACATTCCATTTATGGCTGAGTGTTCCAAGGTCTCTCACTCTCTGCGCATCTGGCTACAGGTTTCTATATTTGTTCCCATCTTCTTCAGGAGGAAGTGTCTCACTATGGCTGAACAAGGCGGTGACCTATGAGTGTAGTAGAACATCATTAGGAGTCATTTTATTGCTGCATTTTTTAATTTGTTTTTAGTTCAGTATTATTAGTTTTACCCCAGGTCCCTGGACTATCTAGTGTCAGATTCTTTGTCACCCAAACAGTGTCAGGTATAGGTTACATCTCATGGAGTGGGCCTTCAGTCAAATCATGGTTGATTTGGTTGATTCATATTGGTTGATTAACTCCCACAGACTTGGTGCTAGCATTGCCCTAACATATCTTGTAAGCAGGACACCATTGTAGATCAAAAAGAATGCAGCTAGGTTGATGTTTACATTTCTCCTTTGGCATCTTGTAGAGTACCTTCCTGTACCAAAGATGCTAGAACAAAGGGGTGAAGGTTCTATGTAGGCACCAGCTCAACCCCTCTATGTTTAATGAGTTGTGTAGGTATTGTCTCCAGCAACAGGGACTTGCTGTCAGTTTGTGGAGAACAACCTGTAGTCTTGGCAACATCCAGTGTTGTTTTGGAATTCCCATGGACCCCTTTATTCAACGACTCAACTAGATGTAATCCAATCCTGCAAATGGAAACTTCATTTTGTAACAAGAATTGCCTGGTCAGGGCTTTGTCTCCCCCATTATTTGGCAATCCATTTAGATTGCCTTCATATATGTCTATATCTTAGGAAGCTTCTACTCTACTAGGTTTCCATACTACCCTTCAAATGGCCCTTAATTTTAGCCATCTTTCCCTGCATTCCTTCCTTGCTCCTCTCTTCTCTCCCCCTCCCCACTTAATCCTCCCATTTCATCCCCTTCTTTCATCCATGTCTTTCTATTCTATTTCCCTTTCCTAGGGAGATCTATCTGCCCTCCTGGTCTATGTGGTCCTCATAGTCTACTTTATGACCTACTCTTTGTAGTTCTATGGACTGTAGCTTGGTTATCATTGACTTCACAGCTATTATCCACATATAAGGGAATACATACCATATTTGTATTTTGTGATCTGTATACCTCACTCAGGATGACTTTTTTTTTTTCTAGTTCCATTCATTTACCTGTGTATTACATGATTTCATTATTTTAACAGCTGAGTAGTATTCCATTGTTTAAATGTATATTCACAATTTCTTTATCCATTTGTCTGTTGAGGGACATTAGTTTGTTTCCAGTTTCTGGCTGTGAACATAATTAAGCAAGTGTCTCTGTGGTAGAATGAAATGACCTTTTGGTATATGCCCAAGAGTGGAATAGCTGAATTTTAAGGTCGATAAATTATCATCTTCTAGAGGAACTGCCACATTGATTTCCATAGCATAGGTTTGCACTTCCACCATCAATGGACCAGTGCTCCCCTTGCTCCACATCCTTGCCAGTATGAGCTATCACTTGTTTTGTTAATCTTATCCATTCTGGGAGGTGTAAAATGAAATCTAAAAGTAGTTGTGCTTTGCATTTCCCTGATGGCGAAGGATGTTGAACACCTTTAGGTGTTTCTCAGCCATTTGAGTTTCCTCTTTTGATAATTATCTGTTTATATCCGTACCCCATTTTATAATTGGGTTATTTGTTTTCTTGATATCTAGTTGAGTTCTTTATATCTTTTAGATAATAGCCCTCTATCAGATGTGTAGTTGGTAAAAATTCTTTTCTCATTCTGTAGGCTACAGCTTTGTCCTAATGACTGTGTCCTTTGCCTTACAGAAGTTTCTCAATTTCATGAGGTCCTGTTTATTGATTGTGGTGCGTAACTCTGCAAGAGTGGCAAAGGCAGGTATTTTGAGATCTCTGAGACAACTGTAATATTATGCTAATTTTCTGTGATTCTGTCAGTGACTAAGTCATAGTCACTGGCAATACAATACTGTATGCTTTATGCCACATCCAAAATAGAAATTAGCTAAGCCAGGCTTAATGGTGTTGGCTAGTAATCCCAGGCAGGAGGCTCAAGGCCCCCAGGACAAACCAGTGAGATCTTGCCTCAAAATAAACTGAAAGAGAGCTGAGGACCACACTCAGCAATAAAATTCTTGCCTCCCATTTATAAGGCCTTTATACTGAGAGAAAAAAAGCTAATAAATGCCACATAGTGGTTAGTGAAAATGATGGTGGAATCTGCCCCTATCCTTCCAACTGTGGGCCCATCATATCCAATGGCAAAGCTCACATTTAGACAAATTTGGACATGAGGATGTCTCATTGTTGTGAGAGCTATAACAGGAACAGACACATTTGTGTCTTCCTAAAATGTCAGAATTTCTAAGCCTGGGTTCTGGCAGAACCGACAAGTTGGGCTTGATCACACATCCCATGCCATCAAGAGACTCAAGTAGGAATGAGAAACAGGGAAAGGTTTATTTAATGCAGCCATAAAAAGTCCTAATGACCCCCGAGTCCATGTTTTAGGGATCTGACCTGAGGTTTATGTTCAGAGGGCAAGAACTCTACATAAGTAAGCAGTCCTGCTCAAGGCGGAGTCTCGGCCATCACTGACCCTGCATTGTCTCTGTTTTGCAAAATGACCTGACTAATTTTCAGGCTTGTATGAAATATCCTGAGAGATGCTCCTCTGGCTGACCTCAGGTTTCAGCTTTTCCTTTCTCCTAACATGAGATTTCTGAGGAAATTCCAATTCCTTGGGGACCATTATTTCAGTAAGTAGACAGAGAAAGGGAAAGATACAAGTGTTTCTCTTTATAAGATATTTCTCAAAATAGAGACAAATGTTGCCCTGTAAAGTGAAACAGCAGCAGGCTGCACAATGGGGACCAAAAAGTCCTGTCCCTAAGGGGGCCAGGTTGCCCAGGAAATGCTTGCCTCTGTCCAGGGTGCAGCCTCCCTGCTATGGACAATTGCCCTCATCAGGGAGGCACCTGCTCTCGGAGTTCCTGATCTTCTGGAAGGTTGAGGGGGCTCAAAGGGAAGATTACAGGCAATGATAACCCTGTACCTTCACCCCAAGTGAAGGAGACAGACAAAAAAACAAAAGCAGAGACATTAGGAAAAGATAGCTTCTAAGTGCCTGTTTCACCGTGTCCACTTAACTTTCCTTATCTTTCCTATCTCCTTGGGTTCTTTTATCTTCTTTTAGATGTAGGAGTGTCCAGATGCTCCTTTCTGCCCCCCTCCCCAGCTTCCCCTGCTCCTCTTCCTTTCTTCCCCCTTCTTTCTTGTTTGGTTTTCCTTTGAGACAGGCTCTCACCATGAAGCCCTGGGTGGTCTAGAACTAGAAATGTATGTCAGGTAGTTTTCAACATGCAGCTCCTCTCTTGGCTCTGCCTCATGATAGAGTATAGGCATGAGCTACACACATGGCTTGGAGAGCTGTGTATTTCTTTCCAGTTACTTTCCCCCTTCACTTAAAAAAATTGACCAAATAACATTTGTTCAAGTTAAGATATAGTTAGTACAGAAGTGAAATAAGTAAAAAGAGAAGGCCCTGTGAGCAAGAAATGGTGCCACATACTTAGCTAACATTTGGGAGGCTGAGTCAGAAGGCTGAGATTTTGAGGTCAGCTTGGGCTACACCAGCTACTATCTTAAATAAAACATAAAAATACCTTTCTTTGCCATTTAGTAAAATATTCAAATTTCTTTATATAAGTAGGAACACATATCACTTGCTAGCTTTCTTTTTTTCTGTTCCATTTTGATCTTTGAACATGGTCTTCCTCTAAAACTCAGGTTGGCCGGGAATTTGTGGCAATCCTTCTACCTCAGCCTTCTAAGTACTGGTATTGCAGACATTAGCCACCACACCTAGAGATCTACTTTTTCTACTTAATGTTTCTCAGACATTTTACCGAGTTTACACATAGAGCTCTTTCTTTTTTAAGGACTATGTACGATGGGCATTGGTAGCACACGCCTTTAATCCCAGCACTCCGGAGGCAGAGGCAGGCGGATTGCTGTGAGTTCGAGGCCAGCCTGGTCTCCAGAGCGAGTGCCAGGATAGGCTCCAAAGCTACACAGAGAAACCCTGTCTCAAAAAACAAAAAACAAAAAACAAAACAAAACAAAGCAAAAAAAGGACTATGTACTAGTCCCTAATATATACAGAGACTGGGTATTCAACTATTTCCCTGTAAATGGATACTCAAGTGGTTTGGAGGTTGAGTTTTCTGTCTATATTGTTGCTATTAGAAACATTACTCTGATAATATTCTATATTTTTAAGCTGTTAAAGCCATCCCTAAATGTACTTCCTCTTTTTCTCTGAAGGAATATAGAAATGTTAATGTCATCTCTTTTCTTCATGCCACTGTCTTCTTCCTACTTCTCATCTTCCTGTCCAACACACACACACACACACACACACACACACATACACACACACACACACACACCATCTCCCTCTGTTGGAAATGTTCTTTCTCTAACTCTCTGCTGGAACCTTGTTTTTTATCTTCCCAAGTTCCCCCATCTCATCATTATGGAGTCAAGGACTCCTCCTCCACAGTTCTATGAAACTATATCCCATGATGTGTTGGTTATCTCTCTTTATACCTGCCCTTGCAGGTATAAAGGGAGAAGGGACTTAGCATGGATCCTCAGTCCCTGCCATCAGGGTCTGAATGCAATAGGTCTAGTGACATACCCTGAAGCCTGAGCTGCATGCCCTCCAGGGTTCACTAGGTGTGTCTTTAATCTCATTCCCTCTTGGTCTATGTTGAAGCCAATAACATTCGGTTATGAATCACCTGGGAAATATCAGGGCATAGGACAAGCTGTATGGACTAAGAACATTTCAGAAAGATTAAAATAACATATGACACCATCAGTGACCAGTCCCTCCTTTTTGTCAGATTTGTGGGGACTGCTCTGGTCCTGGTAGCAATGTGGTTGTATTCTGGGGTTTTCATTTGAACCATGTCTGAGCTCTCTCAGCTGGGTGGCTTTGATACAGCTAGTTTGGTTCTACTTTTCTTCCAGCTACAGTACCACCAGAAGAGAGGCAAAATCACAGAAGGATCTGGAAAGTTTGCAGCAGTCAGTTATTCAGACCCCAGGCCTGAGGCTGGCCTTTGCAATCTAAAAGCTAGATGATCTTGGAGGTCAGCTGGGTGGTGAGGGGTGGCTTGGGGAAGGTGGTTACATTCTCTGTGAAGAAGAGTGCCTGCTAATGTTACCCACCTGCCACATTGCTGCTCTCAAACTCAGCCATAGGGAGACATTAGAAGGACAGGCTGTAGGCCACAGATTTCCCCTCTGGCTTGTGAGGCTACTGTCTGTACAGTGACTCCAGCAGTGATGAAGCAGGAGGCAGAAGGATGGATACAGTGGGTTCCTTCTCACATCCTCCTGCATGACACACGCTGACATCCATGGAGGAAAAGTTTTCCAGCTCCATCACTGGTGAGACCTCCAGAGCACTCCGCCTAGTGCTTTCTTTGTACTGCATTTGAGTGGAGTCAACAGTTATCTGGAGGGGAGAGATCTGTGGTGACTGCAATGCCTCCCCCACCCGACTTGCAAATTTTCCCATAATATTGGTTTTTATTCTTTGCTTCTTTCAAGGACAAATACTCCTAGGAGATGTGCAAAAGCCTTTCATGATTGAGTACAATTTTTTTCTTTCTAAAGTAGATTAAACAAAGGGAGTTGGGGGCTTAATTAGGACCTGGGAGAAGCTTGTCCATTAGCGTGTGGGGTGGGGTGAAGGTTTCTCACTTTTGAGAAGGAATACGGATGTCCAAAGGGAGGAAAGACATGGTTCAGGCTTGTTCTTTGCCTAGACAGCTCTGCCATTATGACTTCTGCTAAGAGAATCCACGGTCACTGTAGTCACAAGCTAAGGAGTGCAGTCATCATTGCTCACATCCTGATCTGACCACTCCCACAACTGTAAACTCCCACTGACCCAGATTCTTCGTGGCAGCTTCAGGGAGATGAGACTAGGGTGATGGGCAGATTAGGTTTTTGAAGTGAAGGCTGCCAGAGAGATCTGTCAGTAGAAGGTAGGGGAATGTACTTTGGAGCAAGGTGTGCACTGGGCCAAATGCTCATCTGTGGGCTCCTAAACCACATGTCCCATGTCCCTTCCCACTTCCCTCACCATAGATTACTTCATCCACTGTCTAGCTACCAGAACCTTCAAACCCTGACCAGGTTCTCTATAATACAACAAAAATATTTAATGTTTTCTACCATCATTTCTCAACATTTAAATATCAAAATAGTACATGTTTGGATTGCATATCAAGTTAGTTCCCTAACTCCACTTGTCTATTGAGTTGGAAGAGCCCTGGATGAGAAACTGGGGGTCAACATGGTACCACTGTAGCCATGCAGGGGCATCATTTAGACCCAGATCCTTAAACTGTGACTCCCATGGATAGGACTGCACAATTGAAGGTACGGGTCACAAAACATTACCAACATTTTTTCTGAATGACACAAAATGAATTGAAAACCTAGCATGTGCTGACAGGAAGGTGTTTGTTTCTGCATCACTCAGTGTCCATGCTGTTTCTGTGTCTTCACTGCAGCTGTGGTTGATTGGGAACACACAAGCATTCACACTTTGCACTGTTCATGCTGTCACGGCATGCAATGCCAGCCGATCCTTCCTGGAATATCTCAACTGGGATTCGAGGCTATTGTGAGCTATGAATTATGGTCTTTTTTATTATAGATACAAAGTTGTCTGCTCCTATGGAAACAATGGTTTAATTACAGGAAACAAAGGCTCTTACTGTTTTCTACCAACATTTCTCAGCATTTAAATATCAAATTAGTACATCTTTGGATTGCATATCAAATTAGCACATCTTTGGATTGCATTTTGTTAGAATGCTTGACTTTTAAAATTGTTGTTTGTGCTGCTGACTTGAATTTCATTTAAAAGATTGCTAAATGAATTTTGGCTTGAGATTAGGAGAGAATTTCCAAGAATTTCTGAAATGGAAATGGCCCAAAACATACTTCTGTAATTTTGTACTATATATTTATGTGTAGTGGCATTCTTTGAATTAATGATTATAAAATGAAAATATTAATCAACTCTGGAAAATGTTGGAGATGCTCTGTGTCCTGTACTATCAAATAAATATTCAGCTAAGATTTAATTCTTTGTGTAAAAATAGAGAAGCACATTTATCTCATTGGTATGTAAATTTGCTTTCATCTCTAGAAATATATAAATTGTTTTAAAATAAAGTTATTGTTTGTTTATCATCATTGCATGTTTGATTTGCATACCTATTTTAGATACCTGTGTATTCAGGGTCACGTAGAAATTTCCCAGGTGGAAAGGGGTTGTGAATGAAGACTGTTTAAGATGCCTTGATTTAAAGTGGACTGTTCCCCTCCTCATCACATGGAATGTGAAGATTAACAAAGTAAAACATCCAGACTCTCTGAACTCCCAAGGGACAAGGGTTGTGAATGGCAGATTCTGTGGTATAATTGGGGCCATTTAATAATGCCACTAACTGCTAGACTTTCCCCCTTAGCAGAATTTCATTGCAGGAATCTCCCAAAGGTCTCCTCTAAAATAGAATTTTTTAAAAAGTCAACAAAAGTAGAAAAGGTAGAAGGCTTCAGTAATGACTGACCCCAGGGTAGGTTCCTCTGACCTTGGGGGAGGGGATGCATTTCTTATGAGACATGGAGACTTGCTTCTTCCTCTCACAAAGAGACTACAGGGGTAATGAGAAACACAAAAGCAAGTCGGAAAACTGAAATTTAATAAGACCGGGCGTTTCTCTGCCTGCTCCTCATATATATTCCATTATGATGATTTTCAAGACAGACCACCATGAGGCTGTCTAAAGTTCACAGATGAAGTGGAAGGCCAAGGGAGCAGGGAGATGACAATCAAATTGTCATCAAATTGCAGACAATCCCAGCAAAGCTTCCTGAAAACAGACTTGATTTGTGTTTCTCAAAACGAAAACCAACCAAACAAACAAAAACAAAACTCACTTTTTAAATTGTCTTCTGGTCTTCAGTGAAATCCCAAACTAATTTCTTTACAGAGTTAAAATATGAAATTCAATATGAAACTCAGTATTTAAGAAAATGAATTCATAGATTTTTAGTATGACCTCGAGGAAAATTAGGGGGAAAAAAAGGCTTAGGAAACCAGCTCTCTCTATACTTTTAGAGGCATCACAAATAGACAAGGAGGAATGCAGAACTCAGCTACAAGGCTTCTCTCAGGCTACTCATTCTTTAGTGGCACTGGTGGTTTAAACAAAACAAAACAAACAAAAGACAACCACAGAAACCAAACAACTGGGTACACTGACAAAGGCCTCTAATCCCAGAAAGGAGCATCCTTGGCTACTTATCGGATTCAAGGCCAGCCTGGACTACCTGTTTCAAAACAAAACTAAAACCTAGAGTTTGCTTCCAAAACCAAGCAGCTTCCATTGGTGATGGCTAGAATTCAGAAGGCTAGGCCTGGGCTCAGCCTGGCCCAATCAGTGGAAGATTGCATGTCTTATGTAAGGCTGCAGTACCCTCCAACAGAGTGAGTAATTTTGTGCTATTTTTGGGATGGTGCAGTTCTTTAAAACAAAGTGATAAATTAAAGCGGCCTTGGTAATGCAGCAAAAATGTTGAGCCATTTTAAGGCAAATGGAAAACGTGGCCTCAGTGCTCAGCAGCAGAGGAGAAGCCTGTAGTTGTCTCTCAGCTCAGTTAAAAACATCAACCAAGTCTGGAACAGAATTCTAGAAACTGGGCAGTACAGAGTCTTATGTTGGGGCTTGGAGAATCACTAATGAGAACCAGTGCTTGTAACTGAACCCAGCTGGCAGAGAATTCCTGGAAGGCTGGCAGCACATCACCTGTTTTCTTACTGAGCCAGGTTAATATTCCTCCTCTTGTGGTCCAGTGGCCTGCATGTTGGCTCCTGTCGCCTCCCCTTAAGTCCAGCTCTCCTTCTCCACATGGTATTTTGCTAAGTCCTGAATCCCACACACTGATTCAAACTTCAAAAAGGAGTCATATTTTTATGTGGTACCTTCTGGTCCTTATTCAAACGATCCTCTTTTGCCTCAGGTTCCTCTGAAAACAGAGATGATGATGGCAGAGGGAGCAATCAATTACTCTGTTGTTGCTTAAATGCATTAAATACATTTTATTTTTGTAATTTTTAGTGTATCCCATTTGTCCTACTTTATAGTTTACTTTCCTGAATGTAAGTAAAATAAAAGTGTTAAAAGGGATCTATTACTTTTTAAAGAAAACATTTATATAATGTTCTCATATCAAGGAAGTAAGACACGATGTTGAATGTTCAAGCTGCAGCCAGATATAGTGGCACATGTTTTATAATCTCAGCCCTGGGGAGGTTGAGGGAGAAGGGTTATTGTGAGTTCAAGGCCAGCCTTGGTTATATAGTTGTCCTAGTCAAAGTTCTGTTACTGTGAAAAGACAGCAACTGTAATAAAGGAAAGCCCTTATTAGAAGCTAGCTTAGTTTAATTTAAACTCAAAGACTTAGTCCATTGTCATCATGGCCAAGAGCATGGTGGGATGCATGGCTGCCTGCAGTCAGACATGGTGCTGGAGAAGGAACTGAGAATCTACATCTGGATTGGCAGGCAGCAGGAAGAGAGAGACACTGGGCCTGGCTTGAGCATCTGAAACCTCAAAACCAGCCCCCATCCCCCAGTGACATACTTCCTCCAACAAGGCCACAATAGCGGCCTATTAGTGTCATTCCCTGATGACCAAACAGTCAATATTATGAATCTATAAGGACCAATCTTATTCGGACCACCACAACAGCGACACCTTGTCTCAACAACAACAACACCCCCAAACCACACCAAATCAAAAACTTGAATCTGAGTGCTAGGAATATAGATGATCTTTTTTTTTTTTTTTTGGTTTTTTTTTTTTTGTTTTTGTTTTTTGAGACAGGGTTTCTCTGTGCAGCTTTGGAGCCTATCCTGGCACTGGCTCTAGAGACCAGGCTGGCCTCGAACTCACAGAGATCTATTGATGATTTTTTTAAAAATTTTTTTTCTGCCTTTAAACTTACTGCAGAGGAAAAATACCCAGTTCACTCCATATTTTTAAAATTCTGTAAAATTTACCTGCTCTTACTTGTTAATAATACCTCAAATGAGCCAGCTCCTTGAATTTTTTTTCCAAAGAAATTTCATCACATGCATGTTCCTATTTTGTATTTGATTCATGAGTCATGGCCATAAGAAGCTAAACATAATGACTGGGGGCATGGGGAAGAGAAACTTGGTGTGCCACATCCTTTCTCCCTCCCTCCCCAGGGTGGCAGGAGTCATTCATGGATCAGAGAGCTCTTGTCCCTGATCTCACCTTTAGCCCTCCAGGTCACCACCACAGCTGCAGGAGTCCACAGTCAACCTTGCTTTCCTGGATGGAGAAGCTATCAGCTCCTTCTTGGTGGCTGGCTTCTGGTCTCTTGTACCTTGATCTTCTTTCCCACTCTGCTCGAGGAAGGGAAATCTGAAAGAAAGGTACTCAAACTGAAAACTACCTTTATCCCCAAATGGTTTCTCAAATATAAGAGGTGGAAAATTGCAACTATTAAGTTGGCATTCGCAAAAGCTTCTGGTGACGAGGCCAGCCCATAACTGCTAGAGTTGGGATGGAACTAAGACCTGTATTTCTTTCTGATGCTTGTCAGACTCTGGGCTTTATCAGACAGGATGAAGACAATGTTCCTGGGGCTTGACACTTGTTAAAACACTCCTCCATCACCCTGGCCATGTGTGGCAGCCTGCCAAGGCAGGGATGAGGCCAAATTTAGCAGGGTCCTTCAGCACTGTTTGGTTGAAATGATTACCTGATGTGTGAAGGCCCAAGTGGGGGGTGGGGGGGAATGGGCTGTCCCATGAAGTCCAAAGCCTGGGGTATCTCATGTTCTATATCCTGGTTGTGGTGACTTGTCACCAGTTGCCAGTCATTTGCAGCTTTGCAGGAGATCTAACCTTAATTGTTTTCCTGGGCATACTCTTCTGCCTGTTTTGGTTTGAATATAAATGCCATTCCTAATCTCATGTTTTAAGCTCTGGATTCCCGAGTTTGTGGAGTTATTTCGAAGGCTATACAGTCTTGAGGAGAGGCTGGCAGAAGTGGCCCACTAGGGGCAGGCCTTTGAAGTTTATATGTGCTGTGGCTCCAGCCCCGAGCTCTGCTTCCTGGTCGATAGTCACATGAAAAGCTGTCCATGCCTCCCCTGTTGCAATGCATTGACATCTCTTCAACTATTAATCAAAATAAACTTTCTTCTCTTGAGTCATCACGTGCCCTGTCACAGCAATGGAAGCATAGCTACTGAGCTAGAGACTCCTTTAAAACGTTAAAAATTCCGCAACCTTGGCTCTCTGAACATTAAAAATTAGCAACGGGATCAGCTGGTTTCTAAGGTTACTCGCCTTAAAACCCTGAGAGGGCATAGTTGAAGAGACCTTTTGGAATAGGGAAAAAGCTGAGGTTCCTATAGCTTAAAACTTGGAGAGTAACCTGTGTACTAAAGACACCAGAGTCAGGTGGGGCAGACTGTCAGCTAGCGGGGAGGCAGTCCTGGCACTGATCTATCCTCTGCGGATGGTACATTCGTACTCTACTACACCCTAGGAACTGTATACCCATTGACTGCAGGTTTGTGAAACTCAGTCAACAGCTGCTGAGTCCATACTGACAAGAGCTTTGCCCTGCTGCTCTTTATTCACAAGCCATATGAATATACTTTTATGAAAAGCAACAATATATACACACATGCATACACATAAATGAACCAATATACATATGTAAATATTTATACATCTCTCATTTTGGGGAAGTTTATCCTAGCTTATTTATTTATTTGTTTGCTTGTTTATTTTTAAAACATCGAGATCAAGCAGCAGCTCACTCTGTGACATGCTTTCTGCTGAATGACAAGCGGAGGCTTTGCCACATTGGCCCACGTGACCTTCCCTTTCAACTGTTGCAGAGGGTCCTGTATGGTTGCCCCACGTTCTGTTTACTTCTTTTTCTTAGCCACCTCTCCACTGGTGGATATTTACTTTGCTTCTAGTGTTTTGTTATTATAAAAATTGTGTCAATGAACACCTATTTTAGCTGACGTGTTTGACGATTTCTCCAAGACACATATCTGGGATCAAAACAGTTGGGTTTACAGCAGCGCCTGCTCTACACTTTGAAAAATTATGCCAAATTGTCAATGTGATGGTACCAGGGACAGTACCTCGTTTCCATGGATATTCTGTTTTTAAAGGGCGCCTTCACATGTTTTGGGGGCATGTACACTGTTCTCACTAATTGTTTATTTCTACTCTGTGTTTTTCGGTTAGGTTACCCTGTCTCTTATCAGTTTGTAGACTTTTTTTTTTTTTTAATGAAGCCCAGCATGGTGGCACATGTCTATAAATGCCCGTATTCAAAAGGCTGAGGTAGATTGGGCCACATGAATCTCAAACCAGCCTGGGTTATAAGGTGAGACTTTACCTCAAATGAAAAGAAAAATTGTCTTAATGAACATGTGTATTCACCACTTAGCTTCAATATTACTTCAGTATTAGTATTACCGAACAATACATTCCCCATCCACTCCTACCCCATACAACTATTATTTTGAAAAAATTTCCCACATACCACTATTGTTACCACACATAAACATAAAGAGAATTCTCAAAATGTTAACACATATCTAGCACTCATATTTCCTCCATTATCTTTTATATTTTTAAAAATTATTAGTATTATCAACTATCCAGACAGTTAAATTTCATTTTTACAAATATTTTAGCTATTTGTTGGAATTTCTGTTAAAATGAAGTCCTTAATTCTAGCTGGATAACAAGTCATAGACAGACAGACAGACAGACAGACAGACAGACAGACAGATTCTTTCCTACCCTCACTGGAGAATTCTGCTGGTTTTTCTGTGAAGTTCCCTCAATCAAACCTTGATCTTGTGATTACATCAGATGGCGTCATTTAATGTGTTCCTCTCCTTGCATGTGTTTGGTTGCATCTGAGGCTTGGCCAGAAACAGGCTTGACCTTTTGTCAAGAACACTTGAATTACTAAGTTACATATCTCCGACAAGGCCATATGATTTTTCTGCGTCTCCATGAGCTTATCAGCCATCCATATCTATGTCACTGGACCTACTTTAGGAAACAGAAGACTGTACAGCAATTAAAATTACAGAAATTTAATACATAGAATTATTAAAATAATAACCATGAACATCTAATGATGCCTCTAAAGGGCACCTTATATCTGAGTGAGAATATCAAAGAAAAACAACCTGAAATAGGCTCTCTCCCAGGGCTGGGGTTTTGATGTTGTTGAGGAAAACTTGAGTAGTTGGGGACACTAAGCTATCTGGCAGGAGAGTGTTCCTAGTTGCTGTGCAAGAAGGGAAGAACCCAATAGGTACAGGCAGGCTGAGGCTAAGGCTGTTTACCTACCGCACAGTAGGAGGTGTAAGGCCTGGTGTTCAGCGTTCACACTGGGAGGGCTGTCACAAGCCCTGGAGTGCCAGCCAGCTGATGGTGGAAAGTGGTCAGGAGGTAGGGTTCCACTGTATGTGTGAAGGCAAGGGGTCTCCCAGTCCAGTCAGGGGATTTGGGCTGCAGGACTTTCCACTCTGAGGATCCTGACAGCACAGAGCCTTACTGATGAAGCAGGAGTGCACTGCTGGAGGCCAGGCACCAGGAGATAAGCCCCCTTCTTCCTGCAGTGTCCCTTTAGTGCCCTCTACCGATGAAGCTCCAGATCATACTCATTGCGAAGGAGAAAGGCTAGTTCTGTCAATGACTGACCTCAGAGCAGGTGCTGAAGGGTGGGGCTGGGGCTGAAAGGCAATGAATCAATAACTAACACAATGGTCACTGTTTACCTTCCTTGTTTCTTTGAAGGTGCAAAATGGTGGTAATTTGCTTCTATTGATCTTCCTGTATTTGCTGGATGCTTCTACAGGGAGAAAGTTGCCACATCTTGAGTACCCAAGGCATAGTGTATAAAGCACCTGGCTCCTTCCCCACAGCCAGTTTTCCCTCTTCTTACCTACTTTACCTCCCAGTACATTTTTTCATCCTTTAGGTAAATGAGACACTTCCATCCCGGCTCATATCATACCTCCACTTCTAACAACCTGACCTGTCCTCTTTCTACAGGCCTGGCCTCATGTAAAAGCTATTTTCTACCAACTACATCCTCCTATGTGAGTCTTGGTTCTAGCCACAAAGTTGGAACAGAATGTATGCAAATAGAGCTTTTCATTCCCACGTCATGTAACCTTCACCAACACCACATGAACTGTGTGCCTGCCCAGGGAAATGAAGCAAGCCCACAAGCAGGTGACAGAAGAACTGGGATTAGAACACTGGGCTGTTTAACTCTGAGTCCTGGGAGCCTGCAGGCTTGGGAAGATTTGACATTCAGTAACTTCAAGCTTAGCTCTCCTGGGTCTTCATCTCTTTGAGGCTAGCATCACTGTTGAAAACTCCCAGTTTCTGGCCCCACTCCTCACTTATTGTACAAGGGTGAATTAGCTGGGGGGCAATGCTGAAGAGCATCCCCAGGTGGTGAGGACAGGGGAGAACGGGTAGGCTGACGAACCCTGCAGTTGCCCAGGGTTATGACATGGCCTGCCCCAACATCCACCCCATCCATGATCAACTAGAGCATATGAAGGGACCTGACCCACAGACCCAAAGCTGCAGGATCTCCATGACACGGGGCAACAACAGGATATCCAGGAAGAGTCCTAGTGAGGGCCCAGCATTGATAGTATAATAGAAATCAGAGACCTAAAACCAGACCAATAATTCTTTGCAATGAACACTGCAAATAAAGACATAATGACATAGGCATTTACTGCCTGACTCACTGTGTCGCACTATAGTTTCCATGACAAGATTTTTGATTTTTTTTCCTTTTTATGTCTTTTCTTTTTTTTCTCTTAAATTTATTTTATTTGGGAGCTCCCAAATAAATGAATCCCATAAATGAATGGGATCAAGAAGCATGCTGTGAAAGACTTGCTGAAGAAGTAAAAAAAAAGAAAAGAAAAAGAAAGTAAAGCCCCCATTTCTATCTCAGGATCAACCACTCTGGTGGAATCCAGGTTCAATTGCAGCACATTTTCTTCATCTCAGATGGGTAGGCAGATGCTCCAGTCCTCTCTCTAGATTGTATCCCTTTCTCACCATCCTCCTTCCCCTCCACACGGAAGAAAATGAAAACTCTCAGGGGAATGTGAGAGAGAAAAATGTAACTGCTGGACCTGGTGGTGACATTGAAACTGAGTCTCCTTCCTTCTCCATCTCAGGGGGGCCATGCGCCATGTCAGTGGTGAAAGCCAAGACATCCCAGCTGTGTCAATCCTTTTCTCCTCCCCTTTCTTCTCCACTTCAACCACCTCCTCCAAAAATTCACCTAATTCCTCTGGAGCCATCTAGTCTAGCCCAGGGTCACCAATTCTGCTTGCTAATCTTCTGTGCCCCTCTGATCCCCTCTGCTACTTCTCCCTTTCCTTCCTCCTAGCCAGGTTTTCCTGGCAAAAACCAACAAAATAACAAAGAGTGGGGAATAAGTAAACAGCTGCCTCCCCTCACTTGGGAGTCTCTGGAAGTGCTTCCTTCATTTCCACGGATGAGTCTGTATTTCAAAGTGCCTGGCACTGCTTCAAGGCTAGTTCCAGTGGCCATGGAGTCATTGTGTTGAGATGAAGGTAAATCCAGGCACTTTCTATTTTTAGGTTGGATTGTTTCTGGAAAAGGTTGCACATCACATAATAGGAAATCCCAAGAGTGTGAAGACTGTTTCCTTCCAGTTGAAGCATTGTTGTGGTTGGCTGTTCTGAGCACAGAGACACTGGGGTAAGTGGGCAAGGGTTGGGGGAAAGGTCCGGCTTTGTGGGGACCAATGGGAAGGTGAAGAATGGAGTCAGGGCAAGTGGGATTGCAAGGATGGAGATTTAGAGCTCTCAGTGACAATACAGTGGTTGCTAGAGGATGAAACCATGACACCTTCCCTGAGCCTGCTTATTTTGCAAAGATAGCTGCCAACATGGGGTCAGCAAGCACAAGTTATTGTCAGCTCAGGATCTGCTATTTGTCATTTAAAAAATGGTAAGTGAAGCTGGAAGCTGATAATGATGACAGTCCACAGTTGTCAAGACATAGGTAATACTCTTTCTTCAGTACAGACTTCCTGGAGTGAGGGCTGGGGGATATAGGCCTTGGTGTTGGATTTGCAGAGCATGTGTGAGGTCCTGGGTTTCACCTTCAGGGTCACATATACCAGATGTGTGGCCTATCAGAGGTCCCTGCAGGTGAAAAGCATTGACTTGTTTTCCTGCCTTGCTCTGTTTTGTGCAATCACTCCCACTTTGCCTTGAGTTCAGAACCACCACTTAGCCTTTGGTGTTACAGAACAGCACCATACATTGACAACAGGCCAAATTCCAGTGTCCCATTCCCTGTAGTTAGTATTGCCCTAGGAACACACCTGTGGCTCAGTTTCCTGGCAAATCTCTGTTCTCCCTGAGTCCTGCTTCTGTAACCAGGCGCTACTGAAATGCTTGGCTGTGAGATAATCATGAGATGCTGCCATAATTACTGGAAAGGTGGAACCAATTCTCAGCATAGCAAACATTCCCTGGGAAGTAGGTACCTTTTCTAATCTTTAGGTAAGGAGAAAGTGCTTTCCTCTAACAAGTAGGACAGGACACTTCTGCCACTACAGCATCATAGGAATCCTCAGGACCAACATCATCCTATCCTGTGCACCAGGTCTCACTGATAAATCAGAGCCCTCCCTTTCCCACAGTAGGACTATCAGGGTGTAAATTCAACTTCCTTAATTACTCTAGTGCTCTGGACACCAGGCTGTGGACTGAATTGTCTTCATACACCCCCTCCAGCTGCAGGAGATGACAGTGGTTAAATGCTGCCACAGAAACCTCCTGCCTTTCACATTGTGCTTAGTCTCAGTTGGTTTGGGAGTTTCTGCCACAGTTAGCACCAGCCAACCTATTCTTGTTTTTTGCCACTTCAACTTTAGAGTACCAGAGCTCTGTGTAAGACGGGTATCTCCTTCTAGAGGATTCTGCCTGAATTCACGTTCCATTCCTACCCAGTTAGTAAGAAAACTGATTCCAGAATCTCCTCCACAGTTGTGTCTGCTTCCCATACTTCTGGCACTGTCTTAGGTTGGGCTCTTCTAGAATTGGTGTCCTACCCAACGGTTTGAGTGAAACAGGTTACTTGTGAAGGGATTCTTGAAGCAAAGGTAGAGATAGAATGGGAGGAAGCCAGGGAAGAGCACCGGGAATCAAGCAGGAGACCTTGAGAGACACTGGGGAGTAATTATGCTGGGAAAGTGGGCAGTTGTGGGCTGTTTCTAGAGTTCCGTCTGCATGGATGAGGAAACAAGTATATAATCTACCACACCTCTTTTGGAACTGCAGAAAGCTGATCTGGGGACTTTAACTCAAAAACTGCCTATAAAAGGCCTCAGCAGAGAAAAGGGTGTTCACATAATCGGCCACTGGCATTGCAATACAGCTTAGATATTGTCAGACTCTGTCATAGCCTTAGACAGTGGCGACAACCATGCTGACAGAAACATCTAATCAACCAACCAAACAAGCAAACCAGATCTGGAGCATGCACAGTCTAAATGGGGAAGTACTTGGGATGTCTGGGAGAGACGTGGTAGAACGTCAGTGGCCACAGTGCTGGAGGCACTACTGAGCAGTGTTCCAGAACCACGGTTTTGCCTGGAGTTTGCCCATTCCCCTGCTGCTTCAGTGAGACACCAGCTGGGTTCTATTTGACACTTAGCTCTTACCCAGAAGCATTCACTCATGGATGAGCCAGTGCCACAAACTGTCCCCTGCGCCATAGTGGGTATGCAATGACCTCCTATAGCCACAAGAGGGAGCCAGTGATGTGACGAGCCAGGCTTAAAAGAGCAGCTGGTGACAAGGACCCCCCACCCCCCACCCCAAGAGCTTCAACTGAACCTAGATAGGAAATATAGAAGGAGAGCTCAAGCTAGGAGGGAGGAAGTCTCCAGAGAGCTAGGCAGGGTGAGCCTAGGAAAAACCAGAAATGTGACTTAAACAGAGGTGTGATAATAGTTTAATCATACCCAAAATTATATTATTATGAATTTAAAAAATAAGTACACATTTTTTTCCTATGAATGAATCAGAATCAGGCATGGTGGCACAAACCTGTATCTCTAGCATTTGGAAGGTTGATATAGGAAGATCAGGAATTCAAGATCATTCTTGGCTGTGTAGTTTGGGTTTGAAGACATTCTGGGCTATATGAAATATTGTATCAGAAAAAAAAAGAAAGAAAGAAAGAAAGAAAGAAAGAAAGAAAGAAAGAAAGGAATTGGGGGTATAGCTCAGTGGTTGAGTGTTTGGTTAGCATTCATCAGGTCATAGCTGGATTCTGAGTACCTCCAAAAATGGAAAATACATATAAAGAGTGAATATGCACATACATTGGAGCAAATGGAACAAATCAAAAAGCAGTGAGCAAATGAGGGAGCATGGAAGTTACTCTGAGTTTGGGAATGACCACTGTGGTTCCTGGTCTCTGCTTTGTGAAGGCGCCATCCAGATGCCTGCACATCTGTGTGCACACCTGCTGGCCTGCTGCACCATTGTGCTGATGAATTTGAATTGCCTTGCTGAGCATGCCACCTTTACCCTTTAATTTCAGAGAAATGAATTAATAGCAAATACTGTCAGCATTTTGCAATAATTCTTGACTGAAGCTGATAAGATA